TGTTTGCAAGCGTCTTCATTCTTACTTCATTAGCTCAACGGGCTAGTTTAGCTAGGGTGGTTCATTAGCTAAGGAATAGACTCTGAGGCACTAGATTGGGTTATATACATTAGATTGGAATGTTTCCTTCTCCCAGTCCAGCAGATGGGGACGCAACTGGGTTTCCACCCCCACCTCCCCCAACTTGTTTCACTATTCCCTGTATCAGCACTTACATCTGAATCCAAGCCCACAGGAAGGGGAATCGTTATGCAGAAAGTGACACGTACTCTGCTCACATTCTACTGGCTCCTATTCACGTCCTCTAGGCGGAGTTATTTTCTAGCTCTTTTTATTAATCAGGGTGTTAACTTTTGGGGGTCCTAGTTTTACACAGGGCATGTGAGAACACTGTCTTGTGTTCAAGACCCGTAACTCACAAAATTCACTGCCATCAAATCGATTCTGACTCATAGTGGCCCTATAGGACAGGGTAGAACTGTCCCTGTGGGTTTTGGAGACTAGACCTCTATAGGGGAGTAAAAAGCCTCCTTTTCTCCTGCAAGACCCATAAACACTCCAAACTTCAAGACCCAGGGATAAGGCAGAAGACTTAACAGAACCAACTCCAACCTCTGGTTACCTTAAGGGCTTCCCAGCACTCAAGATTGGCCACAAAGCCCCAGGGGATGGGCCCTTGTCCATGTCCCTGCCTACTTCTCTCTGCCCTTGGAACAACAGTCTCTACCCGCTCTGCCTTTTGGCCGTTCCTAGAGCCCCTAAGGCTCTCTCCTGCAGCAGGCCTTTCCACTTGCCATTCTGTCGGGAGGGCACTTCCTCCAAATATCCAGTTGGTTCACTCCCTCCCTCATTCAAGATTTTGCGCAAATGTCTTCTCACATCTTTGCTTACTATTGTGAACAAAACTGTCCCTCAGTACTACGTCCTCTCAGAGAGCACTTGTCACACTACATTTTGTGTATGGTCTGACTCTCCCACTTGATGTGGGAAGCGATTCCAAGGCAGTAGGAATGGGAATAAGTAGGAAGTGAACAGGGAAGGGGGAAGGGCCAATAAGGATGTGTTAGGGAATCAAACTGTCAGGCCTAATTCTCTGAAGCACCAAGGATAAGCGGAGGATTCTGTCTGTCAGAGGGGGAAGCCTGTGCCTTGGTTACTCTCTCTCCTGGTCAAGGGTGCCTCCCCACCCCGCCACTCCCCTGAACTTCCCAGTTACCTAGGGGCTGTAAGTCTCTGCCTGAGGTGAGACCCTGTCTGCCTGTCCCTGACGTGCAAAGCTAGTCAAGAGTCTGCATCAAACTGCTTGTCACCCACCGGCAGTGCCTGGAGCAAGAAGTGGAGCTGAAAGACTGACCTCAGGGCTACCTTCAGCACTCTTTCCCAAGCACACAGCAGACGTTTGTTTGCTGACTGTGCTGAAAGGATGAATGGCAATGCAATGTAGTAGGAATGGCATGTGGTACAGCATTAATAAAGTGGGGCTATGGGTTATGACGGGGTAAGTCCAAGCTGCCAGGGGCATGCAACTGGAAATTAACTAGCCTGTAGGGGGGGGGCTTTCTGGGGGTGCTGGCCCAGAACTGAGGCCTGAAACATAGCCATTCCTTGAGAGTAAGATAAGGCCTTCTAATTTTGTAAACCCACAAAAGTTCTACCCTGTCCTATAGGGTTGCTACGAGCAGAATTTACTCAATGGCAGTGAATTTGGGAAGACCAGGGCTCAATTCCTGGCACTTGTCAGAGGCGGTTGTGTACTGCTATGGCTCTGGGCATCATGTTTCAGCAGAACTTCCCAGCTAAGGGCTGGGAAGGCCCAGCAAGCTACTTCCAAAAATCACTCAGTGGAAACCCTAGGGATCCCAATGGTCTGATCTGCACCCGACCATGGTGGAGAGTCATTCCATTGTGCATGGGTGCAACATTCCTTGGGGGCCAACTCCATGGCAGCTAGCAGTACCCACACACAACAGACACCGAGCCAAGTGGGTGACGGCCTACTGGTGATTTACAGCTTGTGTGCAAGTCATGTGACTCTCAGAAACCCATTTCTGCTGCTTTTATGGCGGGTGATGGGAGGCCCAGGACAGAGCAGTGGCTTGCATGGGTGGAAGTAAGTTGGTGGCAGTGCTGGGACCAGAAAGCAGGTCTCCTGAGCATTGGGTTTGTGTCCCTGCTCCAGAGATGGTCAGAGTGTACAGGGGCTTTGGGGAAGCTGGGGCAGAGGGCAAACCACACAGCTGGTCTGAGGGGGGCTGCATTGCCTCCGCAGATATTACCACAAGAAGCTCAAGGAGGCCACCTGCAAGACGAGTGAGGCAGAATCAACCTTAGGCCGGCTGCAGTTCCGGAGGAAGCTTCCCTACAACCCCCACCAGGCAGACAACGTGGAGGCCCCAGAACGAAGAGTCCTGAGGATCCTGAGCCGGCTGAAGCAGCAGAACACTGGTGAGAGTGCTGGGCACGCATAGCCCGCCAGCCCCAGGATGCCAAGGGGGCGCCTGGTCTCGCACTTGGGGCTTAACTGCATATGCCAGTCAAAGGGTGTTGGTTGGTAATCACTACTTCACACCTAACCCTGTGGGCAGGTCCTGCACCGCCCCTTCCCCTCCTACCCCAGCGTGGAACATGGTCCCACAGCTTGCAGAGGCGCTCAACCAGGAAGAAAGGAACAATTCCAGCTCCCTTCCCATTGAGCAGCCACTGGGGTCACTGTTAGGTGGGTCCTCTGCAGGAGTGCTCAAACAGAGGTATACCCACCAACATGCCGCTTTACGAACAAATGAATGTGCAGGAAGTTCAAGTGTCTTGCCAAAGACCCCACAGCTTCTGTGTCAGAAAGGGATTTGCAGCTAGGTCTGACATCCAAATGCTCTCAACACAGGGTAAGACTGCCCTATTATACAGGGGAGAGCAATGACAAGGCCCTGGGGAAATGGAATGAAAAGATAATGCTATCTTTCTAACACCTTTGAGAACCCCCTTAGAGTGGAAGCTAAGTGTTGGGCTAGGAGTTCCCCAGAGGCTCTCCAGGGCTGGGTAGCCAGAATTCATGAGCTAGCCCTGTCAACCACAGGGCCCACTACGGAGAGATTGGCTCCTTGTTAAGCTGTTACTAGTCTTTACTCAGCCAAGTGCATACCACTTCCACCCCAGGCTTAGAGGCTCAGAGAGTTGAAGTTACGTGCTCAAGACCACCCAGCTCACTCTGTGACAGAGGCAGGATTTTAGTTGGCTGGATAGGTCCTAAAGCACTTCCCTCTCCGAATTCCTCCACTAGCAACCAACCTACAGAGTCCCTACAGCCAAGTGCCCTGCATCCCACTCTACCCCCGGCTGGACAAGAAGGTGGTCCGTGGAAAGCCGAACAACATGAGCCCAGACATTCGCAGTCTCCTCTATAAGACACAACTTCAGGGAGGCAGGTAGGTGCTCAGGGGGCAAGGACTCACGCGCCTCCGTTGGTGGTGGCTCTTGATCTAAGCCTAGGGAGTCACCCTCCATGAAGTAGTGTCTGGGAGGTCCCAGGCGAGAGAAAGGGCAAGGTTTAGTACGGCTAGAAGGTTCCATGGAAGTCTGTGCACCCTGGCTTTACTGTGACCAGGACTTGGGTGGTCCTTGTCTTTCTCTCAGGCTGGCACTGTCCCCCTTTGCCCCGACGACACACTCAGTAGTGGGACAAGTTTAGCAGCAGGCCCCTTCCAGTGGCTCTACAGTGTGGTGTGGGAAACAAGCCCAAGGCTGCTGGCTGGCTCCATCACTGCCAGGGGGGTTCTTCTTCCCTCTGTCACACAGACTGTAGGTAGGGAGAGGGCTAACCACCCCCAACCCTTCTACCCTGCCCGTCCAGGGAACACAGCTCTGACGGCCGGAAGTGGCTCAGCCCCATGCCAGCTCGAACTCACTGATCCTCCAGTCCCTACTCAGGCAGCCGTTCAAGACCTGCAGACTGGAAGTGTCATTGGGGCAAGGGGACTGGGATGGGACAGGGCTGCCTTGGGGCTATTTTCACAGCCTGGTAAGCCAATAAACACCTAGTTACTTTTGTGTCTGATGCCATGGAAGGCCTCTGGGGGCCTACTCAAGCTGTTCCTGCCTGCTCTGGAAGGAGATGACCTCCCACTCAGGGCATGGGGCTGAGTTCTCTGCGCTTGCTTGAAGGGAGTGGTGGCCACCTGGATATGCCAGATCAGGGGATGGCCTAGACATGTTTCAGCTGCCTTCTTCCTGGGGACCCCACCTGGGTCTGCTCTAACAAAGGGAGAGGCCCACTCTGGTGCTGTGCAGAGGTCGCCCCCGCTGGTGGCTGCAGAAGCTGAAGCAAGAGGTTAGCAGGCCAGGGTCGGAAATGAGGACGAACAGGTGCTGACAAGTTTAAAACATGTATTTAAAATACAATTTATAAAATGCTTAATCTGCCGACTCAGGAGCCCGAGGTGTGGGTAGGCAGCTGCCCACTACACCAGCAGAGCAGGACTGCAGCCCCCCCACCCCCCTCCATGCCCTTGGCCTCAGACACCCAAGGGGCTCACATGCACTCCTGGGACCACACGACAGGAAACAGGACCCCCGAGGTTTCTCAGGTCTCTGCTTACCAGGGAGGCCCGCCAGCCCATCCCTGAGCAGAGCACCCCCAGATGGGGCAGAGCAGGGTATGGCTGGGCTGGACAGGGCAGGGCAGGTGGGCTCTGGAAGAGTCTGATGGTAGCAGATAGGGTGTTGCCTCCTGCCTGCAGGTGGGGAGCACCCTGATTGAGTGGGCTGAGAAGGGCTGGTCACCAAGCCGGGACCCCCAGCTCCTTTGGTTATAGGCTGACATCAGAGTAGTGGCTCATGGGAAGCGGTTAGCTGGAAGATCTGAGGCCTGGATCATTGGGTCAGGGAGGAGCTGGGGAAAGGGAACAAGGGGACAGTACCATGAAGGCAGAGAAAGGGGCAGCAGCCTCAGGTTTCTGCCCCCCAACCCTCGGGATTTTCCAAGCCAAAGCCTGCAGCTCAAAAAAAAAAAAAATGCACTTCAGGAAAGTTACAGACAACTACAAAAACAAAACAAAACAAAATCCAAACCGTTCTCCCATCTCCCCTCCCACCTCCCCCCAACACAACAGTATCCTGTTTTCGGTTTCCTGCCTGCTGCCCCACCATCTGGGAAGCCAGGGCATGGCTGCTGGTGAGTGTGCTGGGCACACAGTGGGCAGAGCCCCATCTTTGGCTGGTGGGAGGTGAGTGCACCAGGCCTTGCCATGGCCTATTTGCAAACACCCCTCAGCAAGTCCTCCCCGTGAGGCCAAGGACCAGGTGGTCCCAGTGGCTGAGCAATCAGCACCTCTGGTCCTCCCACCTGACCCACCTCTGCCACTGAAGGGCAGCCTCTCCTCAGGCCAGAGACCACTAGTACATGATGGCGGCCAACATCATACATCTGAGAATGCAGAAACTTGGTCAGGGCAGTGGAACTTTAAGGATAGCAGCCAACATTCTCCCTTGCCTACTGGGGAGCTCAGTGCCCCTCAGAACATGATGCAGCTACCTGCACCTCTCACAGACCGAAGCTCGGTTCCAGCTCTGCTCACCATCTCCTGGTTCACACAGCTTTAAGGCTGTGCTACGGGCTAGCCATCAACTCAAGTGGCTAGCCCTGCCCTCTACAGGGAAGTGTGGTGGCACCTGGCCAGCTGGGCCTGCCTACCATGCCTGCTGGCAAGGCTAAGCCAGGCAATCCAAGGGTGGAGTGGGCCAACTACAGCTAGCCACCACCATGAGCTGCCCTAATTGCAAAATGTCACACCAACCAATCCCAAACCTACCTGCTGGTTGCGAGTGAGGCTGACTGGCTGGCTAAGGGATAAGGCGCAGTGCAAAGAAGAGGCCAGCCAGCCATACACCCAGCTGCTCTGGGTGGCTGTCCTCTGCCACCTCAAGGGCAAAGCCAATCTCCAGGATCCAGAGACAGAGGGAAGCTACCTTCCTCCCAGACTCTTGCTCTGGAAAGAGGCCCCTGGGGAGCCAGTCCGTCATCACCAATCTTTGCAATGCATAGTGTCTCCTTCCCCGACTTCATACAGAAGGGCCTAGCTCCCAGTGTCCTGATGTTAAAAAGGAAATGCACCAAGTATAGTTGAGCCAGTGCCATCAACAGAGATGGAGCACTCGCTACAGTCCCTGGAGAGCACACACCTCGCTAGACAAGGAAGAGCCACCCGCCTGTCTTTTGGCCACACTAGGCAGAAGACTCGGATACCTGGAGTCAGACTCCGACTCTCTCCTGACTTCCCTTGAGTGGACAGCAAATACTGAACATGTCTCGCATCCCTTACTTGTAAGCCCAAGAATGCAGAGGCCACTCTCCAATCCTGGGCTCTCCTCCAGAAGTAGCAAGCCTGGCTGGTAGGGAACCACCCTGAGGGGCATGAGAAGGGGAAGTCTGTTCACTTTCCCTATCTCCTGAAATACTAGAGGTGGGGTTGGCACCCTCCCCAGGCTCCCTGAGCCTAGAGCTGGCCCAGGTTCTAGGCAGAGCCAAGGTTATGGCCTGGGCCTTAGCTGGGGGGTAGGGAAATATAGGCATGGGGTACTCATCTGTCCTGGGAGCTTCAGAGCCCTGCCCCTTTTCTGGGCGGCAGTAGGAACACAGAAGAAGCTAAGCTCACCAAAATCCTATTGGTTAATGTTTCTAGTGGATTTCCCAGAAACATTTTTAAGTAGACTATCAAACTACCCTTTCTCAATTAAAAATTCATTAAACTGCTAAAACGCCCCCATGCGCTTTTTCTTGCAAATCAGATTATTTGTAAAAACAAACAAAAATAAAGGGGGGGGTCTTTTCAAATGGAACTTGCTTTTTAAGTGAAGACATGCACTTGGGGGGGGGAAGGTTCTCATTTGTGTTTTGAAATTCCGAATTCATGAGCATGATAAACTTATTGCTGGCACCAGCTTACCCCAAGTGGCACTGTCTGACTCTACTCTGAGTCCTTGGTGAGTCCCCGCAGCCCTCCCCTAACTCTCATCCTTTCCCTTTCCGTGGACTTGGGACAGCCCTTGTCGACGTGCCGATCACAGTGGGAAGGGGGCTAAGGGAGAGGTCACAGTGCATGGGGTTCAAGGTCACAGTGGGCGGAGCAAGGGGGATCACAGTGCAAGTAAATCAGGTCGTTCCCTCTGCTCAAGTCCAGCTGTCTGCCACGGCAGTGCGACCCGTGGCAGGCGACCCAGGAGGCGACGGCAGCAGTGGTGGCAGCAGCAGCAGCAGCAGCAATGGCATCCTTTCTTGCCCACATTTATCTGCGCTGCTTGAAGCCTTGTGACCCATCGGGACCCAGGGGCTGTCTGATCACATTATTGGGCTGTCTGCTGTCATCTGGCTGGGAGATCCTGGTTGGCCTGCAGGGACAAAGATCAGAGGAAGGTCTGATAAGGGATCTAAACGATGGCCCCAATCCAAAAGGCCTACTACCTACCCTGCTTCAGTCAGGGCAGAAGTTCTGGGGTTCCCAGCTGACTATGGCTCTCCAAGCCTGCTTCTTTGGCAAGCAGACAGAGGGCCATTTCAAGCTGGAAGGTCCCAGAAACAGGTGGGGTTGGTGGTCCATGTCCACCTGGGGCAGCTACAGCATTTGTGGCCCCTGGCAGCAATGGCAGCTAGCACAACCCACAGGATCTCAGGCAAAAACTCTCCACACACCTAACCCAGAGCTTAGCCGAGTGTGACATGCTCCTGTCTCCCCACCCCACGCTGTCCTCTGGCTTCTCTCCAAACCAGCTGACTCCTATTATTAAGGAAAACTAAAAGAAGTGGTTTTTTTTCCATTCCAGAAAGACAGAAGCTTAGGGGAGAGGCATTGTGGATCTATACGATTAAATGCTAGACAGAAGGTGCAAAGACACCAAGCAATGGAGGAGGCCCTTAAAGTGAAGAAAAAGGTTGTGGTGGCAAATGCTGTTTTGCAGCCTTTATGACTACAGAGAAAAAGCGGTCTCAAGTTCAATGGAATTTAGCAAATCCAAAAATAATGGAAGTGGGCTAACTGCAGGACCCAGGGCAGCACAGACTTTAGCCCCTTACTGAGCTTTCCAACTGGGCCAGGCTGGGCTCCCAGCACGCTCTGCCCACGAACTCATTTGATGCACGACTTTCATCACCCCCACTTTTCAGATTAGGCGAGGAAGGCAAGGAGAAGTCAAGGAGCCAGTGAGTGGCAGCGATGAACTTGCGCCTTACAGACTGACTCCAGAGTGCAGGGCTTAAGCCCGCAGCAGCATGGCCAGGCCCTGAGCCAGTCTGCCAGGCAGCTGATGCAGGGAGGTTCCCTTGCTGTTGGCAATTCTCATTCCTTTCCTTGAAGACAGGCTGCTTTGCTTCCTCCCTCCTGGAAGGAGGTGGGGGAGGGCAGTGGATGGGCAGTGGATGGGCAGGGTCTTTGCTGGTCAGCCTGCTGCTGCACTCACCTGTCAAGGATGGGTTTCTCTTGCTCCTCCTCCGGGCTGGCGCTCCCCAGGATTCGCTTCCGGGCCTCAGCGTACTCCGCCTCCCGCTGGGCTAGGGACTTGACCGGGAGGGCTGGCCTGCTGGTAGAGTTGGGGCTGCTCACCACACCGTTGCTGGTGGGCCTCTTGAGGATGCGGATCTGTGGAGGGGGCCCAGTGGGAAGGCTATCGTCCTGAATCACAATGGGCACTCTGGGAGGAGATTTGGATTTCCTGCTGACAAAGAGCAAACACAGCTTCACCATTGCAGTCCTGAAGATGGGGAGGCCCTGCGGTGTCCCACAGCCACCCAGCAGCACTTTCTGCTTGCTCGCCCCCTCCCTCCCTTCCTCGCCTGATTCTGCTCATTCTTCTCTGGCCTCTGACCAGACAAGGCCTAACTCCCCCTCCTCAGGGTTTCTCAAAAGAGCTGACAAGCCACAAGCTCACACTGTTCACAGGAACTGCTCCTCAGACCTACCCCTGTCCAAGGGGGAACACTCAACCACCACCTCAGCTGGGGCTGCTTTCCCTCAACCATGACAGGCCACTCACTGGTCAGCTGCGGTGGTAAAACACTTCATGCTCTGAATCCAATGAATTCAAGGAAAATCCCAGTTTTCCTACACAGACCACAGCTTGACAGGCTAGAACAGTAGGAACCCCTCAGCTCAGGGGTCAACGAAGTGCTCCCTCTCCCAGTCAACATCATCCACCAGGTGTACTCACTGGTCTACTGGACCCAGACACCTGCTACTGCCACAACAGCCTGGCACACAAAGACAGGATTTACCAAATTGCCTGAGAGAGGCCTCCCAAAGAGAAGCCACACCAGGACGCATGATCGCCTCTTGGCAAGAGCTGGGAAGCAGAGAAAGCCCCCCACCCCCTCCCCTCCAGTTCACTCTGGCCTGTCAACAGCGGCGGGGCTGGGTTAAAGGTGATCCCAGACACTGCTCAACAACACTCGGGAGCCTCAGTCACCAGGAGAAGTGGACTCAAACCCCTGAGGTGACCAAAACAAAGAGGGATACACAACACAGAGAGGGAAGGTGGAGAGCCACAGGAGAAAGAAATCCAGGTGAAGAGTGTCCACCCCACGATCCCAGAGCCTGTGTCACCTCAAGGGGAGGGCCTGGAGGAACTGGGCTGCGGCCAGGGAAGCTGGGAGGGCTCAGGGCTGGCCTCTTGAGGATGCTGATATGTGGAGGCCCCCCCACCCCCTCCGTAGGAAGGCTATCGTCTTGAATCACAATGGGCACTCTGGGAGGAGAAGGCAAGGGAAAGAGGGCCTTAATCAGCTTTAGTGTTACTGCTGAGCTGAGTGAGCAGACAAGCTGATCAAAGCACAGGGGGTGAAGAAAGCTAGCAGGGCGTCCCAGAATGCCCCAGGGGATGGGGCTGCAGGCCAATAAGGAATTCCAGAGAAGGCTCTAGTCCCTTCTCCTCTGCTGGTCCCTGTGGGAAACTGGGAGGTTACTGAAGCCCAAAGCTAGGCTGCTGGTCACCTTTCACCGACTCTGGAAACCCAGTCCTCCACTGCCTGGGTCTTTCAAGTTCTTTTCTTCCAGGACACCACCATAACACCTCATGCCATCACATCACCGAGAGCCTAGATAAAATATCTGTCCAACCTCCTCAATCACAGAAAAAGAGACTGAGGTCCAGAGGAGGAAATGCCTTGCCTCAAACCTCTTAACAATGAGGGGCTGAGCCGGGCCTAAGCCCCAGGTTTTCTGACTTGCTGCCTCCCACTTTCTATCATACCACCTCACACAGGAGCCCACTAAAGCAGGAGGCAGATACAACACCCAGTCAGTCATCCGTCCTGCTCTCCCCACCTCATCCTAGGAGGGAAGGGTTCCCTACCCAGGTGCTTGGCCTGCCAATTGCCCATCTTTCAAACGGCTTGAGTATAAGCCCTCAGACCACATAGCAGCCTTACCTCTCCTTTTGTGTGATCTTCAGTTTTTTTTCCAACCGTCTGTCTATTTCCTAGAGGAAAAAAATGTATATAAAAAGTGGAAAAAAATCTCTCTCAAATAAAAGCTTACGTCTTTATATTCAGAACTAAGGTTGGTGTCCTCTTGAGTAGTTAACAACTTGGACCTTCCTTTACTGGATGCTGGGGCTGGGGACCTGAGATTCCCTGTGTATCTGCCTCCCTTCTGAACCCTCAACAGCCACATCAATCGTTTTAGGCTTCACTGCCCAGCTGGGCTCTTGGCTGAGCCTACAATTTGTTTACTTGCCTCCAATTTCCCCAAGTGCCACTCAAATCGGCTTTTGAACCACAAATCTGAAGCCTGCTCAAAGCCCTTTAATTACATGCAGGATCCAATCCAAGCTCCTAAAACTGGCTTTGCTTATCTTCAGCTTCCTATCTTACACTACAGTGATACTGAGCTGTTAGCAACTCAGGCCCTAGCATGCTGCTCCACTGCCTACAATGCCCTGCTCCCTTTATCCCTTACACCCGCCTTGGATGTCTACAGCCTCCTCTGTGACACCTTCTCTGATCTCACCACGTGCAGTTATTCACATGCTCCTGAGAGATCAGCTTTCTTTTATACAATCCTCATGGTCATATCTACCAAGTGTTTTATAATTTATGTCTTCACTGTGTGCAGTAAGCCCGGGCCTAACAAAGGCCTGGAATGAAACAGGAGCACCTGCTCAGGGGCCAGAGTCCACACACTAGAAGGATGTAGGCTTTGCACAGACAATGACCAAACTGCCACACTCCTCAGCTATCTCACTGCTTTTCCTTAGAAAATGCACTACTTCCCTCAACCTCGGTGAGGGTGAGCCCACCTAAGCTGCTGCAGAGTAGAGAGACGGTCGTAAAGACGCATTTGTCTGGAGAAATCTCTAACCCTGGTTTTCAGTGGGGACGAAGGGTGATAAAGAGATTATTTAAGCCACTTGATTGTCCTGACTGGTGGTGGGCGGGGGAAGCTACTGGTCAGGGATGCTCCTAAACATCCTACAGCTCCCTCCACCCCCTGCTAAAACAAAAGAATTTCCACATATACTTGTGTATTTGCCAAGTTTTCCAGCACATTTTTAATGGTTTTTGTGGCAAAATTAAGTGTCTGGGCTTATATTCGGGCTGGCTTATACTTGAGTATATACGGTATTTGACCCCAAATGTCAACATTGCTGTGGTTGAGAAATCTTGATTTTTCAAGATAGATGGGATTTTCATCAAGGTTCACCATTCACAACACCAAGGGCCTTGGTTTGTAAGATGGCTCTGAAATTTGAGATTGGCTGAGCGCTGCCTCACAGCCTAGTGTGCCAAATGTGTGCTGAAAATTGATCTACAGTTAATGAGGACAGGGTTCTACAGGTGCACAGTTCAAGATGACAGTATTCAAATCTTACTAATTATTTTGTCTAACCTAATGACTAAGAGTCAAGAATTATTTGTTCTTGCAAACTAAAGTTAATGAAATAAGTTTACTTTAAAATCTACTGTTTAAACCACACGAGACCAAACAGGCAGCGTCTGCCCCAAAATGAGGCTCAGTAGGTAGGAAGAGGGAGGCTGGAAAGAAGGCCAAATAGAAACAGGGATCCCAGGGAAGAGGCAGAACGAGTACTGTTCTGCTGAAGGGGCTGCCACCCCAAGCCATGAAACAAAATGTCTAAACTGCTGAATGGAAAAAGAATTTGCTCTGTAAACTTTCACTCAGCCAAAAACAAACAGACACCTACTACTTAATATTAGCAAAGCGATGACAGCTTTCTATTGGTTAGTATATTTTGGCGTATATGTAATGTCCCCCGTCTTTTACATCCCACTTTTATGTGTATCCTGGAAACAATATGAAACAAGATGACATTCTGATTGCTGTTGTGTTTCTCAAGCTGTATCTAGGCAAAAGCAGCCTAGTGGACTCTGAAGGCACTGTAAGCCTCTGGTGAGGCTGGCAAGCTAGAACACACCCTCTCACTTGCTGCGCTTGACAGGGCCCACGCAGGTTTCTTCTCAGCAGAGCAAACAGCATCCCCTCTCTCTGGGGCATTAAGGAAGCCTGGGCATCTACGTCTACTCCTAGGAAATAGAACCTTTAAGAGGACATTATGGGCCATGTCTGTGTAATGGTGTCCCTGTCCCCAAACTAGAACACGGCCAGCATGCTGGGCACATTATATGACACTACTGGATGATATCTGAAGAACCTTAGCGACAGAATGGTTGTGTTCGGCTAACTGCAAGGTCAGTAGTAGTCCAAAACCACAGCTGCTCCTCAGGAGAAACAGGAGGCTTCTACTCCAGTAAAGAGTTAAGAGTCTCGGAACCCTACAGGGACAGTTCTACCCTGTGCTACAGGGTTACTACTGTGAGTCAGAACCAACTGGAAGAGAATGAGTTTGGTTTTTTGGTTTACATCTGTGACCATTCCAAAGAAAAGTGATCCCACTGAATGAAGAAACTATTAAATAATGTGATCAATCTTACACAAAAGTAAGCTTTTGCTGAAAACTATTCAAAAGCAGTTGCAGTAGTACATCAACAAGGAGCTACTAGAAATTCAAGTCAGGTTCAGAAAAGGACATAGAAGGAGGGAGATCATTGCTGTCATATGCATCTTGGCTGAGAAGAATACCAGAAAGATGTATGCCTGCCAATTGACTAAGGCATTTGACTGTGATGGTAACAAATTATGATTTTACAAAAAATAGGGATTCCAGAACACGACTGTGCCCATTAAGAAGCACAGCTGAAGAGAAAGTCAGCCAGGGTGTACCGTTAGAGCTGGTATCATGTCACCACACACACACAAATAACCCCAGAGGCTGCACGACATGAAGAGCGTGGCATCAAGATTGGAGACAGAGTCCTAGTAATCTGTTATGAGCAGATGACGTGACCCCGATGGCTGAAAGCGAAGGGCACTTCCGCTGATCAAATACTACAGGATTCAGTATGAACTGCACCTTCACATAAAGAAAAATCCTTACAACGGAACCAATAGACATCATCATGATAAATGGAGAGGAGACTTTGTCCAGGATTTCGTTTCACTTGGGTGTATAATCAACACTCATATGAAGCAGCAATCAAGATATTAAATGACAAACTGTATGGATGAGAACGAAGGGGGTTGGGGTGGAGACCCAAAGCCCATCTGTAGACAATTGGACATCCCCCCACAGAAGGGTTATCAGGAAGAGATGATTCAACCAAGGTGTAGTAAGTATAGCACCGATGAAACATACAACTTTCCTCTAATTCTTTAATGCTGTCCTCCACCCCAACTATCATGATCCCAATTCTACCTTACAAATCTGGCCAGACCAGAGCATGCACACAGGTACAGATAAGAGCCAGAAACACAGGGAATCCAGGACAGACAAACCCCGCAGGACCAGTAATGATACCAGGGGGATAAGGAGAAGGTGGGGGGAGAAAGGGGTAACAGATCACAATGATCTACATATAACTCCCTCCCTGGGGGGATGGAGAACAGAAAAGTGGGTGAAAGGAGACACCAGTCAGTGTAAACCATGAAAAAATATAATTTATAAATTATCGATGGTTCATGAGGGAGGGAGGGCAGCAGAGGGGTAAAATGAGGAGCTGATACCCAAGGCTAAAGTAGAAAATGTTTTGAGAATGATGATGGCAACAAATGTACAAATGTGCTTGACACAATGGATTATGTATGTATTGAGATAAGAGCTGTATGAGCCCCCAATAAAATGATTTTAAAAAAAGAAATCAAATGACATATTATAATTGGACAAATCTGCTGCAAAGCACCTCTTTTGAAAAAAAATGTCCAGGGAGGAGATGAGCCAGTCAGGGT